GGGGCCACTAGAAGCAACTTAATTGGGTTAATGTTGCTCGTGGCCCAACACTCGTGGATGGTTCAAGTTATTAGGTTGGATGGTGATTTCTTAGCCCATTTATTGTTGGATAGTTGTGGTCTTTACTGGTGGCCCAATAGATGTCTTGGACCAATTTTGTGTGACCTAATACCCATCCTATATGTATCTATTCTCTTGGTTAATATGGTGGGTGATTTGAGAGGGTTGAAGGGGGGAAAACGGGTGCTCCTTGGTGGAGGAAAAACCGACAGCCTCAAGAGAAAATTCCGGCCAGCTTGGTGCTCTAAAATCCGGTAATATACTTTGTGTATTGGTCTCTTCCTTGTCTCCTTTGTGGCGCCCCCTTTCCCTTGCCTTTGTGGCTTCAAATCACCACCACCATGGTTACCCTTTGTGGGTAAGAAAACTAGTGGCAACCGGAGTGTGTGAGTTGTGGGTCGAGCTTGAGTTGGTTGGTGTCGTTTGGTGGTAAACTGAGCCCGGAAATTGGATATTGGAGCCCCCAAAATCCTACAAGTATGTTACCTTCCTCATCAACCTTTACTTCTTCTTTCTTAACCCAGAAGATCGACCTTGAACACGTGGCTTTTCAGTGTCTCCTTCCACTCAATTCGAGTGGTAGCAAACTGAGATGTCTAGTTGGAAAGGTTGGAACCAATTTGAATGGCCAGTCATGAAAGGGGTCGAGAGAAAATGGGTCCCAGATGTTGCTTCATCAGCCGAAAACACTTGGAATTAGTGACATTTTTCTGAAAATGGAGAATTTACTTGTAGATTGTAGAGTGATCAACATGTCAGAAAGATAATAAGAAGATTGCTCGCTGGATTTCGTCTTGCTGGGGAACATGGGAAATATCCATCTTGACAATCTTTTCCAAAGTAAGCTAAGAGGACACGTGTTACTTATTTCTTACTTTTTTTACTTCCTTTTTTAGGTTTAAATTCGCAAAAATATCCCTGTTGTATGCACTCATTGTGAAACTAATACTTATCATTTCAAATTTGGCATTTACGTTCTTGTTTCAAATATTCCTTGTAGAGTTGGTCTTTTCTATCTTGTTCCGTTAAATCATTCCGTAAATTATGGGCAATTGGTGCAAAACTTCCCTAACGTTTGCCTTGCGAAAATCATTCCTATCATTTCAATTTTGATATTTGGGCACTCAAATCGATCTTTCTTTGCGCAAAATGTCATT